TCGTCTTCATCGAAACGCCGTCTTGAGACATCTTGGCCAAAATAAAATAAAAGAAGCTAGCTAGAACGACTAAGATTAACCTAATAGTACAAAAATACTTAACGGTTCCTATCCTAATCGGGCCCCACTAGTTGCCAATTTCAAAGACCTGTTTTTAAAAACAATCTTCCATTCACCCATTCACTATTTGTGAATGGCCCATGCAATTTTACGAAATACATAATTAAACACGCAAAACTAGTAACCAACTTAGGTGGTTAATCCAATTAACGCGCCTAATTAAAACTAGTCAAAGTTGTTTAATCCATTATTTCTAAACGCAAAATGCTTACGTAACTAATTAAGCTCCCACTTAATTCCGCATCCGTACTTAATTAATCCGATTAATTAAGTCGGCATAACCCATAATTTGTCAAAATTTTGCAAAATCGAAAATCGAGGTTTTTAGCCTCGTTACAATAATTACCAAAAATATTTTAAAATTGAAAAATTTGCAAAATTGCATAGCTCAAACATTAAGCAATAACTTCCACAAAACCTTTAGTGGGTGCGCACCATGGCTTCTAGGCAGCCCATGGCCCTGCGCCATGGTGCGTGGTGCTGGCAGCTAGCAGGTATGCCTAGCACAGCCTGCCTTGCTAGCTAGCACCAGCAGCATGCTACCCATGCTAGCTGCTTGCTGGCGCAGGCAGCAGTGGGGTGGCTGGCTGGGGCTTGCTGCCTCGCTGCTCAGCAGCAGCACAAGTGCACCAGCACACGCACTACACAGTTGCCTCCTCGCCACACAGCAGCGCATAGCAACATCATGGCACACCCCTGTGCGCACCATAGGCAACCACATGTGGGCTGCTGGGCAGCCCGACTAGCCTTGGTGACGCTTGGGTGTTTTTGCCTTGATTTGCGTGCCAATTCTCGGAATTTAATTCCGATTTGTGTGTGACAATAATCAATTCTAAATTACATTTTAGAATTAATTTGAGGGAAAATAAAATAAAATAAAATTAAGTCCTACTTAAATAAAATTTATTTTATTGGTGCACAAGCCTAAATTATCCAAAAATTTAATTTTGAACAAAATTAGGTCTAACTTTATGCTTAAAATAAAATGAGCTATGTCCATAATTAATCTTGCCAATATGCAAATTAATAATGGGTTTGACAAATGGGAGTTGGAAAAATAAATTAACCATCCAATGATAACAAAATTTCCAACTTGCATACTTGTGTAAAATACCAAGATACATCTTCCAATAAGAAGATTAATCAAATTTTACTAACAAGTAATTGAACTTGATGGATTTTAATCAACCAAACATGAAAAATCCAAACTTTGTTCAACATGGAATTTTGGGTTAGGGTTCCAATCATTTAAATCTTCAAAGATTAGAACTTTAACATTACTTGGGAACTTAAAATTACAAGATCACAACAAGTTTTCACATTTTATTGCAATTTATTTACAAAATTTGTGAAAAACAAGTTTATGTGAAAAAAAAAAATTGGTATATCAACTTAAGCACTAATAAAAACTCCTTTATTATGCTTAAGGATATTTTAAAACCAGTAGATTAGTGATGCAAATGTGCATTTAATCTAACCTTGTAATGCTTGCATTAATCAAGGCTTAAAAAGAATTAAACTTTTCGTTGAAAAACGAAAAACCCCAGAAAAATTGGGTTTCTGGTTCGAATTTTGCTTCTGGACAGCCCTAGAAAAGTTAAATTTGTTCCAGAATGTCGATTCCACCCAAAAATCACTATTTTTGAGCCAAAATCTGGGTTCGACAGCCAAATCGAGAATAAAATCGAGTTTTAAAAATTAATTAAAACGAGCATCTAATCCAATTAGAAGAACATGAACCCAAAAAATAAATTCTTTTAAAACACCTTAATTAAAAAATAATTGCAGAAATTAAAAGGAGCGTGGCTCCGATACCGCTGTAGGGTTTCCTAGTGACCCGACACTACGCGAAAGGAAATCCACCAAGACCCGCTCCTTAATTAAAACAATTAACAAGCATATTAAACTTAATCAAACAAGATTAAGAACAAGAATTATACCTTTGTCGCGTGCTTCTCTCCCAAAGAGCTCTTACTTCAAAATCCCGAAAGCACAAGATCTCCGACGAATCGTACCCTCGACCCGACCCGAGCGTCCTAAGTCTTGAAGGTTAGTCAAGACCCGGACAAAATAACTATGAGTTTTACGAATCAAAGGTTTACTCTTAATTAGAGTTGCCTTTTTAATTCCACTCAAGGTTGTATTCTCAAAATCCCAATCAAGTGGGTATTTATAGAGAATGGGGACTTGAACCCCCTTTTCATGATCAATGTGGGATCATGTGCAAATGCAATAATTTATTTAATTCCAAAATAAATAATTAAGCAAAAGCAATCACAAGGCAACAAGTGGCAAAAGGGTAGAGAGAGTTAGGTGAGGACCATGAACCTTGGGGGGGACCATTGCCTTGCTCCCCAAGGCATGGCTCTAAGCCTTGGTCCCCACTCTCCTCACAAAACCGCCACTAAGGGCTGCTGGTCTGCCAGCCAGCTAGCCTGCCAACTAGCACTGTCAGCTAGCCCAGCTAGCTAGCGTCAGCCTGCCCAGCAGCCTCGCATGCTTGGTGCTGGGCGATGCTAGGCGCTGGTGCTGGCCTTCGCATCTCTCGCAGCACCTCTCGCACACCATTACTAGCATAGCCAGCATGCGTGCTGCTAGCGAGCCACGCATGCTGGTCCCTTCCCTCGCATCATGCTACGCACCACGCACGTAGCACGCTACGCACCACACACACAGCACGCTACGCACCACGCCACGCACCACGCACTACCCGCACACGCATCAGCCAGTGCCTAGCACTTCTATGCTTGGTGCGAGGCACGCACACACGCACATGCACATGCACATGCGCCAGTGCCTAGCACTGCGATGGCTGTGCTTGGTGCGTGTGTGGCCTTGCCATACGCACCCAGGCACCCAGGCTAGCACGCTGCTAGCTGCAATGGGCTTCCTGGTGCTTGTGGTACTTGCGATAGGCTGCCATGCGCACCCAGGCATCCATGCTGGCACGCTGCTAGCTGCGATGGTGCGCCTAGTGCTTGTGGTGCTTGCGATAGGCAGCGATGGTGCCTAGGCATGATGCTAGGGCTGCGATAGGCTGCCATGGCGCGCCTAGGTTGCGATGGTGCACCAAGGCCGCGATGGTGCGCCTAGCACACCTAGTGTGCTTAGGCTTGTGCCTAGCCATGCTAGGTGCATGCTAGCTCGAACTAGCCAAGCATCCACATGGCCAGGCCAGTGTGGTGCTAGGGCTATGTTCATACTTGTCGCTTTGTGATTTTGCGACGCTCGGTCTCGACGCCCTAGGCTCGATATCCGACGTCTGTATTCGTAAAAATCTGCTGACTCATTAAATCCTTTCGGATTAATTCGTCGTCTCGGATCGGTGATTCGATTGGGTTCGACCCGAAGGGTTTAGTTAAGATTAAGCTGTAACATCAATTGTACATTGATATTACTGATCGGAAGCGGCCTCCACCTAGGCATTCCGATCACTTGACCTTACTGAAGAATTAGCTCCGTAATAATTCTGAACCCTTTATCGGAAGAATACACTTGTTGGAAGGACACCACTCCTTTCAAATGTAACATTCTCTCCTTCCAACAAATAAACCACCACCAACTAGCTATAGGCTACCACCGACCGAGGGCAAGGTTATCTACCATCGGAATTTAAGTCGTGTTTTTGTTGGAGGCCAAACGCCTAGTTTTTTCAAATATCCTAGGAGAGTACGCCTAGAATTCTAGGCGTTTCTCCCCATGGAGTTTTGAAAATTTTAGGCTTTTCTTTTCTAGTTTTGTTACATTTTTTTTTATATTTTTTTTTATCATAACTTTTGATCCCAAACTCGAATTAAGACAGTTAATATATCGTTGAAAAGCTCTTGATGTCTAATTTCTAACCCAATTTAGAATCATGTCAATATCTTTTTAAGATTTTAAGATATGGTTGAAATACTAAACTCGTTCTAAAACCGATACTCTTGCACAATTTCGGCCTTATCTTAATATATAACAATGTTATTGACCTGATTTTAATTGGGTTGAAAAGTAGACATCCATAGCTTTTCAACGGTATATTATTTGTCTTAATTTGAGTTCGGGATCAAAAGTTATGACAAAAACAAAAATCGCAAAAAACTGGAAAAGAAATGCCTAAAATTTTCAAAACTCCATGGAGCAAAACGCCTAGAATTTTAGTTTCTCCCTAGGAGTTTTGAAAATTCTAGGTGTTTTCTCCTAGGATATTTGAAAAAACTAGGCGTTTGACTTCCAACAAAAAAAAAAACACACGACTTAAATTCCTGTTATAGACATAGTAAAACAATACGAACATAACAATCACTATTATAATAAAAATTCATTATCTATACAAATTTCAACAACAATAGCTTTGCAAAAAAAAAAAAAAAATAATCGTTATAGTGTCATTTTGACAATTTTATAGTATCATTTTGACAATATTATAGCCTATACTAAAAACAATCATATGCATGTAGCTGTTTAATGATTGGAAACAAACATACGCATATAGTATTTCATATACACAAAATTCAAGAAGAATTAAACTCAACCAACAAAATTTTCATGCCTCATGTGGTAAATTGTCAAAATCACTCGTCAATGCTTTTAGTGGAGTATCTATTAAAGTAAAATTATAGTGCTTTAATACTTATGGATGTAATTAGAGAAAGAGTGTATATATCGAGTTAACGAAAAAAAATTAGGGTTTTTGGAGAGTTATGAAGGTATTATATATATATATATATAAAGATAAGGACTAGAATATAAATATTTAAATTCTATTGAATTTAATTTGCTATGAAAAATAAATAAAGAAATGTATATTAAAATGACGTGGACCAATAAAATTAAATGGGATAGAGGATTTGACCCTTCTCTCAAAAGGCTCAAGGGTGTCTATTAAAAAAAATAAAAATAAATTAATATGTTATACTTAGTTGGTTTTCTATTCTTTGACTGTTTGACTTTGATCCCTTAACAATCAAGTCTACCTTTGTTTTTAAATTTTTAAGTAAATCGTTTTGTCAAGAAGAATATTATAAAACTAAAATAACCTTATTTAAAATTTTTATAAGAATAAAAAAGGAAAAAAATGAAAAACATACAACCATGCATTTAGGAGGATATATGTAAAAAAAGGTAATTTGGAAAATATTGGAATTAATTTGGAAGATACGATTATGCTCAAATAAGGAAGTTAATATGTGCATCTAATATTAATTCCTATTTTTTTCCATATAAATGTATACTATGTTTAAAGATTCCAATTAACTTAATTAAATGTACTAGAGCCAACTTAAATTCTTACACACCTTCATTCTCCTTCATTATATATTGTTACCATCTACATTATTCATTACAAAACCTCTTTCCATCCATCTCTTTCGAAAAAAAAAAAAAGTTAATTGGATAATATGGGTAGAGCAAAAATAGCAATGGAGTTCATAGTCAAGGAAAAAGCAAGGAACACTACTTATGTGAAGAGAAAAAAAGGGTTGCTAAAGAAAGCACACGAGTTATCGATTTTATGCAACGTACCGGTTTGCATAATCATCTACCCTTACAAAGAAGGGAAGCAATCCTCGGAAGCTGAAGTTTATGCCTTCAAAGGGGACTCCATTAGGGAGTCTAATGCTATGGATTTGTCCCGAGCAACCGATCCGATGGTTGCTCGGGAGATGATTGATAGGTACTTTAGGATTCCTAATGAGGAGAAGTACAAAAGGGCTCTTAACTTGTATGACATGTTTGATGAATGGACTAAAAAGGCTGATCAAGAGTTGTCCAAACTAAGGCATAAGAATGCATTGGTTAAGTACCCTTCTTGGGATTCTAGCTTTGATGGGCTTACTCTTGAACAATTTATGGAATTGCTTGTTCATTTGGATCAAAAGATTGAGTTTGTTAGGCAAAAGATTTTGTTGATTAAGGGTCATAATCATACGCATGAGGGCGCGGCTTTAGTACCGTACCTTGAGCCTACGCCTATCTCTAGTCATCAAATTGGGTTCCCTTATGTTGAAGGGTTTAATCAATTGACCTCATTTAATTATCCTATTAACAACAATAATTATAATCATCAGCAATTTTGTCACCAATTAATGCCTATTAATTATCCAAATCTCGATATTCAAGGCGGTAGTAGTAGTAGTCATCAAATGGGTGGTACTAGAATGGATGATCAGGGTGGTAGTAGCAGCAAAGGTAGCAACTTGATGTATAATATGAACTCGATACCCGGGGTTGTACCTGTGTACTATGATCAAGGGCGAGGATTTGTTGATAACGTCGGGGCGACATCATCGTACGGTGCTGGTTTAACTATGTCGTCTCTGCCCTTGCAGTCGCTGCCCATGCTGCCCAGTGCTTCATTACAAAGGCAGAGGCAATATCAGATGTACTACAAGCAGGTATGTGAATAATATATCGGAGTAATTCATATAATTGATCTTCATGCATTTTTGGTTTTTGTTTTATTTTATTTTTATAATGTACGAGTATCAATTTATCTGTTGGCATGGTAAGGACTCTCTTTGTCGTTTAATGTTTGCCCGACTTAACTTTTTTTTTTTTTTTTTTTTTTTAAGAGTTGCAATAAGTTAATATGTACTTTTGTCCTTTAGTTTGTGTGTTATGAAATAAAGTAGAGAAAGATCACAGGGACTATATTAACTACTCTTTCAGTTTCTTTTCGAAATAATTATTACATTTTTTAGCTATTAATATATGGGTTATTCTTCAATTTTTTATTTTTTCTATTAATAAATTATATAGCCCGTACTATTTTACAAGTTTTAAACTTTTCATCACCTCACATTCCTCATATTATAACAAGGGTTTTAAATGCTTTGCAGAATGGGTGAAGATCAACATATGAAGCTGTGTAATCATAGATCCAAGAAATAAGAGATATCACTTTGCGAAGTGTGTAATTTAGTTTGGTGTTTATTTGGAATGATTTTAACAGACTAGCTTTGGTGTTTAATTGGTTTTATTAAACACCATACCTTTGTTTCATTCTGGTTTATGTTACCAGACATACTTTTGTTAATCTTTTTAACACTGATCACAAATTCACAGCTTATTTAAGCTTCCTGAAATTCGAACTATATTAAAGATTTTATGCTTTTACAACCCAAATTCTTCCAGTTTTATTATTAGTCAAATGAAACGCTTTATTTCAAAAAAAAAAAATCAAAAAATAAAATCACAGCTTATGTAACACTCAGTTGCAGTTGTTACAAAAATTTCATTAAGCCAAAACCCTAAAGCAATTAAATCCAATGTATTGAGATGTGAGCTAGCACGACTTACCTCCTCCACCAAGTACTGATTTTAGATGTTCTGTTTCTCTGAGATAGTGAGATGACTGTTATCATTCCATGTTTTGAAGGACCAAACTTCTGTTTCAGACAGCTGAAGTACACTTAAAGATGTGTTGGATACTTCTCCAGGATGGCCTTCAAAAGGTACAATTCTCCCATATAAATTTCTTATAACCTCTCCGTGTGTTACTACAATCACTCGCGCTCCTGCAGTGTCAACATATACAAACAGAGAAAAAGAACCCATGTGTTAGTACAAACCTAAGTACTTCGTATTATATAGCTGCTTGTTTTTCTAATATCATAACTACAAGCACAGCTTCTCGGAGCTCTACCTCTATGTTTTTGAGCAATTCTTTGCAGTGAAGCTATGCTTCTTATGTACAATTGATCGCGACTTTCACCTCCACCCTGTAGATATTGAAGTTCAAAAGCTTAGATATAGATATAGATATAGATATAAATATAGAATATATATATATATATATATATATATATATATATATATATATATATATATATATATATATATATATATATATATATAGTCTTTAGTTTGGATGTCACATGTCAGTCTTAAACTCAACAGAGCTTCAACTAAAGATGAATGCTGCTTAATTCTACAACTATATGTATGTGACGCATATGTTATGCTACTCCACTGCTCCATACAAGATTAATTAACTTAATTCATATCAGCAGAGATACAATGATTTTATGATAATTTCTAAAGAAAAAAGAAATGATACAAACTGGAACTTCTTCGCCTGATATGAGAGCTGCAAAAGCCTTGGGGTAAATATTAGATATTGATTCTTCATATACAACTCCCTGAAGCTCCCCTATATGTCTTTCCCGCAGGTCCTGATCACGATTAACCTGCAATGGAGTAAGACTGTAAGATACAAAGAGGAAGCAATTATGTTTGGTTTATTTTACTGCAAGTGGTACTAGATCATTCTCATCAAACTAAACACTTAGTAAGGTAAAAGCCTACAATTCTTAATTAGGTTCTATCAACTTTAATAGATTTTTACAGAGTTTTTTTTTTTTTTTTTTTCAAGAACTTATTTAGTTTGATCTTGACTAATCATAATTAAATTCATGGCAACTTAAATTGAATTTTAGTGATCAAACTACTTTTTGCTTATTTAGCTTGCTGTCTCCCGGCCTCATTCTCATATTCGAAGAGCCCAATGCAAATTACCTTTGAACTTGTAGGAAATCAGACATCAGCTGTATTTAGCTTCAATTCTTGAGTACAACTGTTGTACACATGAATAAATTGGCCTTACATTGCGACTTATGTCTGTATAGGTTTGGATCAAAATACGTTCTAATTTTGTAGACATGCATCTCATTTACCTCTGATTTTTCTGTGTAAGAAACATTCAGCTGATTGTTATCCGTGTCTATAAATACTTTTTCTAACAGTTTGCATTATTTCTTTGTTACTTAGCTAATCCAATACTCCGTATACAGAAAGGGTCCTTACATCAATCTATAGGCTATATTGCTATAGCTACCGCGTACAACTTGTGTCTAACTCAAAAGGTCATGCATACTCCAGAATACATATATTGATATAGCACCCTTGCCTTTCACTAGGCTTCAGTGCAGAGTTTCCAATTTATGACTTGGTAATTATCCACGTAATCAAGGTATAATCTAAATCACGAATCAGGACTCAGGAGTAAACAAATCCTAGAAATGTTTTCACCCATGTCTTGCACATTACATGTGATATCAAATTGCGACTGCATTTCACAATCGTCAGAAGAAATACAGCTGAACAGCATCAGTACTAGTGTTTTCTGTGCCTACTATATATGAACCTATGTATCAATGAATGCTGTGACTATTCCAATAATTGACAAGAGTATCCTTAATTTATAAGTAGATAAATTTCCAGCATTGGATCTCTTTATTAACATTTCATTCGAGTCATTAACTCCACTCATTGCAGCTATCTCAAATTCACAGTTAACTTAAGCTTCCTGAAATTCGAACCACATCACAGATTGGAAAACTAGGACATATAGATTGAACAGAAATGAAGTAATCCACTTTTTTTCTTCAAAATTTATGTTTTAACAACCCAAATTCTTCCAGTTTACCATAATTAGTCAAATGAAACAATTCATTTAAATTCACAGCTTAGGTTTAATCCCTTGCGCTCCTCCACCAAGTGCTGATTCTAGATATTCTGCTTCTCTGAGATGACTGTCATCATTCCATGTTTTGAAGGACCAAACCTCTCCTTCAGACAACTGAAGTATACTTACAGATGTGTTCGATATTCTAGGAAGGCCTTCAAAAGGTAAAATTCTCCTATATAAAATTCTTATAACTTCTCCGTGTGTTACTACAATCACTCGCGCTCCTGCATGCAGTGTCAACATATTAGCTGCTTAGCTTGTTTTTCCATTATCAACAAGTCTACAAGCACAGTTACGTAGAAATATACCTCTATGTTTTTCGGCAATTCTTTGCAGTGAAGCTATGCTTCTTATGTACAGTTGATCGTGACTTTCACCTCCACCCTATAGATGTACAAGTTCAAAAGCTTAGAAGTATATAAATATACATGTCAGTCTAAACTCAACAGAGTTTCAACTAAACATGAATGCTGCTGCTTAATTTTACAACTATACGTGATACATATGTTATGCTACTCCATTGCTCCATAAAAGATCGATTAATCAACTTAATTCATATCATGCAGCAGAGATCTAATAATTTTATGATAGTAGATAATTTCTATTGATAAAAGAAATGATGCATACCGGAATTTCTTCACCTGACAAGAGAGCTTCATGAGCCTTGGGGTAAATCTTGGATATTGATTCTTCATAAACAACTCCCTGAAGCTCCCCTAAATGTCTTTCCTGCAGGTCTTGATCACATATAACCTGAGACGGAGTAAGATACAAAAAGGAAGCAATTAAGTTTATTCTCATATTGAATTACTGATTTTTACTTTCAACTATTTATTATTGTTGGCATACAGAGTTTTCAATCCTAAAATCAAGAACTGAAAACAAACAGTGAAACTGATTAAGGCCTCGTTTAGTTCAATTTATTTTTAATATATTTCAGAAAAAATAAGATCAGACCAGATTAGATAAGCAAAAATAAGGTGAACTAAACAAGCCCTAAGTCCATAGAGTAAAAAAAACTCACCTCAAGCCCACCACATGTGGCTGCTATAGTTTCAGCAGTCTCTAGTGCCCTCTTCAGATCAGATGAGTATATACCTGAGATGTTAGGTTCCCTTGAAAGGCGTTTAGCAACCTTCAACAAAGATGATTAGAATAATGTGAGCGAGGAAGTAATCGAACACAAATAGACCAATAATACAGAACATAACTACAAAACTTACTGCTACAGCTTGCTGTCTCCCGGCCTCATTCAAGTCAATATCTAACTGTCCCTGGATCATTAAATCAAGTAGAATTGCAAGTCTGAGTACCGAGAAATAATTTGCTAATATACCTTCATAATGAACATGTTTTTCATTTAAAAGGATATAAATTTAGATAAGACTTCACCTGCATTTTTCCAACAGCATTCCATACAGTTTCACCATGACGAACAAGGATAAACTCGGTACAAGACTCATTAGTTGGAACACCTTCCGTTGTCACCCTTTACAAGTGGAACACCCAAACAAAAATGATTAAGCTTCTTTTCAAAAACCAAATCATAGAAGTTTCGAATTTTCTTGTATTTGCTCCATTTCCCTTAAAATTTCTTATATCATCAAGTCTACACATTGTATAACTTGAAATACAATATACAGTACAAAATTACTCAATAACAAACAATCAACTAAAAGAAGTAAAATACAGTACTATAGTCAACCAACCAGATTATATATAATAGACACATGCATGATAGTATTTTGACGGAGACACAAAGAGAGAGACAGAGAAAGAGGAGACCTGGAATCAGAGGCAGCCATTGAATATAGAAGATGCAGGAAAATGAGGAGGCTGAATGTTTGACTCCGTTATAATGAGGAGGAAGATGCAGATCTCGTTAGCTATATAATGCCTTTCCTGGTTGATTTGGGGATGTTATTATGTGAACATGTCTACTAGATGTTAATACGCCTTTCCTGGTTGACTTGGGGATGTTAACAACTCAGCTTAGTTTAACATTACCGTGTCTATTAATTTATTAACTACCTAAGCTCCACGACGTAACACATTCACACCTTAATTAGCTCTGAACTAGTACCTAATGAGTACAGCTGCTATACACATGAATAAATTGGCTTTACATTGCGCCTCACATCTGTATAGGTTTAGATCAAATTACCTCATAATTTCATAGACATGCATCTCATTTACCTCTGATTTTTCAGTGTAAGAAACATTTAACTGATTGTTATGTGTGTCTATTAATACTTTTTCTAACAGTGTTATTTCTTTGTTACTGTTGATAAGTATATTAGGTGACTCGTACTTCGTAGCTTTGTCCGCCCGATCGGGCGGACATTGCCCGGTCTGACCGGGCGGAAGAAGAAGAGGTGCCTGGCAAATTCGTTGAAGAAGCTGCTCTCGCGCCCGACCGGGCGAGCCTTCGCCCGACCGGGCGAGCCTTCGCCCGATCGGGCAGACCTTGCCCGGTCTGACCGGGCGGTGGGGGTTGGATACGTTGAAGCATTCGTATGGAGTTTTCTTCTCGCGCCCGATCGGGCAGACCTTGCCCGGTCTGACCGGGCGGAGAAGGAAAAATACGGAACGCGGATTTTGCGGTTTTAGGTTATCTTATTTTATTATCTTTTTGCCCAAGTATCTTTTAATTAGGGATTAATATAAAACCTCCCTAATATCAGTATTAGGGTTAAGAGAGAGAGAGTGAGAGCCGTTCTTGAGAAATACAAGAATCATCTTTGTAATCTTTGCAGTTTATAGTGAAATCATTCGATCTCGGTGCCCGTGGACGTAGCTATCACATCGATAGTGAACCACGTAAATTCTTGGTGTTGTTCTTATTGTTTGCATTGAATTTCTTTATTGTTTTCTTGTTTGTTTTCGACCTTTGCTTCCGCTGTCGCACAACAATTGGTATCAAGAGCTCAGGTTCAATCCTTGGATAGTTTCTTGAAGATAACAATGGCAGGAGATTCAACAATAAGAATTGAGAAGTTTACCGGGAAAAATAGTTTCGGGCTATGGCAAATTAAGATGAAGGCTCTGTTAAAACAACAGCAGATATGGCGTCCGTTGGCTCCAAAGAGTACTACTTCGGAGTCAGGAGACGGACCGACTGACTCGCAGTTAGAAGTTATGGAAGAGAAGGCACACTCTACCATATTACTTAGTCTTGATGATCAAATCATCACGGAGGTTGCTGATCAGGAAACGGCGGCTGGATTGTGGCTGAAGCTGGAGTCATTGTATATGACTAAGTCGTTGACCAACAAATTATTACTGAAACAGCGGTTGTTTAGCCTCCGGATGCAGTCAGGTACTTCCTTACGGGAACATCTAGAAAAACTTAACTCTATTTTGCTTGATTTACGTAATTTAGATGTTAAAATTGATGATGAGGATGCTGCGTTGATTTTACTTGTATCTCTACCGTCTAGCTTTGAGAATTTTGTAGAGTCTTTTGTTGTTGGTAAGGATTCTATAACCTTAGAAGAAGTGAAGGCAGCACTTCATACTAGGGAACTCAGAATGAAAGCTACGAGTGATAATGGGGATAATGGTAGTGGGTTATTTGTTAAGTCCGGAAAGTCTAAAAAGAATAAGGGGTTTAACAAGGGGAACAATGCTGGGTCGGGTGCTGGAAACGGCAAGGATGGATCTAGTAAAACTACTACTAAAACATGTTATTACTGTAAAGAACCGGGTCACTTTAGGAATAATTGTCCGGTGAGGAAAAACAAGTCCCAGGCTGCTGTAGTTGAAGAGAAACCGAATGAGAGCTATAATTCAGAGGAAGATTTAGCATTAGTCAGTTCTGCTAGGTCTGATGATTTATCTGATAACTGGGTTCTAGATTCGGGGTGTTCGTTCCATATGTGTCCACGTCGAGATTGGTTTGATACATATGAACCTCGCAATGGGGGTATGGTTATAGTCGGTAACAATGCTCCATGTAAGGTCACAGGTATTGGTTCCATGAGGTTGAGGACTGTTGATGGGCGGAGGTTAACTTTGACTAATGTACGGCATGTTCCTGCTTTAGGAAAGAATCTGATTTCATTGGGTACCCTGGATGAATTGGGGTACAATGGTGTGTTTTCAGATGGGGAGTTGTGTATTTTCAGAGGTTCTGAGTTGGTACTTAAGGGTATCAAAAGGAACACCCTCTATGTTTTTGAGGGTGTTACACTGCCTAGTTCTGCGGTTTGCGCATATGTATCTCACCAGGAGATGACTAAGATTTGGCACATGAGGCTTGGTCATATGGGGGAGAAGGGGATGCAGCTATTGTCCAAGAGGGGTCTTCTATCCGGGGTCAAGGTTGCCAACCTTGAATTTTGTGAGCATTGTGTGTTTGGTAAGAAACACAGGTCAAAGTTCAGCAAGGGTGCTCACATTACTGATGCAGTGCTCGATTACATCCATTCAGATTGCTGGGGTCCATCTAGAGTTGAAGGTATGGGAGGTTACCACTATTTTGTGTCATTTGTTGATGACAAGTCCCGATACACATGGCTTAGGTTGCTTAAGTCAAAGGATGAGGCCTTCAAAGTTTTCAAGCAATGGAAAGCTTTGGTGGAAAATCGACAAGGAAGGAAGATCAAGAAGCTACGAACGGACAATGGGCTAGAGTTTTGCAAAGACGAGTTTAATCAGTTCTGTGCAGATGAGGGTATAGGTCGGCATCATACTGTCAGGAAGACACCACAGCAGAACGGTGTAGCAGAACGGGTTAATCAGACACTGCTAGAGAGAGTTCGATGCATGCTCTCTAATGCAGGGCTTGGGAGGAGGTACTGGAGTGAAGCTGTGTTAACAGCTTGTTATGTCATTAATAGGGGTCCTCATTCTGGAATTGATTCCAAAATTCCGTTTGAGATCTGGAGTGGTAAGTTGCCTAATTTTTCGAATTTGAAGATTTTTGGTTGTGTTGCTTATTATCATGTTATTGAGGGTAAGCTGGATCCATGAGCCAAGAAGGGGTGTTTTGTTGGGTACGGGGATGGTGTGAAGGGGTTTAGAATTTTTTCACCTTCGGAGGGTCGGGTCATTCTTAGTAGGGATGTTACTTTCGATGAAAACACCATGTATTCAATTAAAAATGCAGAGATTTCAGATTTGAGAAGGGAAGGAGACAATTTATTACAGACAGATGGGGTACTTGAGGTACATCAGTCTACCATTGCTGATTTACCTCGGGTACAATATATTGATGATGATGCTGATGTTCCAGTGCCGGGTACTCCTGAACCTGAGATTACTCCTACTCATTCTAACTCTGGGGATGAGGTGGAGCAATCTAATCAGGGGTCATCTAGTCAACCTGACACCATTCTTGAGATGCCTAAACGAGTTATCAAGAAGCCTGTTAGATTGATTGAAGAGATGGAGGGAAGAAATTGCTGTGTTGATGCGATGACAGGTTATGCATTGAGTGTAGCTGATGATGTAGAGTCATTTGAACCTGCCACATATAAACAAGCAATTAGTTGTAGTGAGTCTGCGCAATGGCTTGCCGCAATGGGTGAAGAGATGCAGTCCCTTTACAAGAACAGAGTGTGGGAACTGGTAAAGGTACCGGAAGGGAGGAAGCTTGTGGGTTGTAAATGGATTTACAAGAAGAAAGAAGGGTTGTCGGAAACTGAGCAAATACGTTTTAAGGCTAGGCTAGTTGCTAAGGGGTTCAGTCAGGTAGAAGGGGTTGACTTTGTTGAGATATTCTCACCTGTGGTTCGACATACTTCTATCCGTGTGTTATTGTCAATTGTAGCACATTTTGATCTTGAGCTGGAGCAGTTGGATGTTAAAACGGCCTTCCTTCATGGCGATTTGGAGGAGGAGATTCTGATGAAGCAGCCCGAAGGATTCGAAGTTCCTGGAAAGGAACACTATGCCTGCAGATTGCTAAAGTCATTGTATGGACTTAAGCAATCCCCCCGACAGTGGTACAAAAGGTTTGATTCTTTTATGGTTTCACAAGGTTTTGACAGGAATTCATATGATTGCTGTGTGTATCATAGTAAGCTGGATAATGGTTCCATGATTTATCTTTTGTTATATGTTGATGACATGTTGGTTGCCACAAAGAATAAATCTGATATTGCTAGATTAAAGGAGATGCTTAACTCGGAGTTTGACATGAAAGACTTGGGTGCAGCTAGGAAGATTTTGGGTATGGAGATCTACAGGGATCGGGCTAGAGGTAAGCTTTTCTTGACTCAGAAAAGCTACATTGAAAAGATTTTGTCTCGTTTTGGGATGGAAAAATCGAAGCCTATAAGTACGCCAACTACTGTTAGTTGTAAGTTGTCTTTGTCTATGTCACCTCAATCAGAGGAGGAGTTGTCTTATATGTCTAGAGTTCCATATGCAAATGCGGTTGGTTGTTTGATGTATGCTATGGTCTGTACTAGGCCGGATATTGCGCATGCTGTTAGTGTTGTAAGCAGGTTTATGGCTCGACCTGGGAGGGAACACTGGCAAGGGGTGAAAAGGATTTTTCGCTACCTGAGAGGGACAACTGATATTGGTCTTGTGTACGGGAATGATAAGGAATGCTTGGTCACTGGGTACAGTGATTCTGATTATGCAGCTGATGTGGATACCAGGAGGTCTGTGACTGGTTATGTGTTCACTTTGGGTGGTTCTGTGGTTAGTTGGAAGTCTACATTGCAGTCATCAGTTACGTTGTCAACTACTGAAGCTGAGTATATGGCTTTAACTTCTGCAGCTAAGGAGTCTATTTGGCTCAAAGGCCTAGTAGGTGAACTGGGTATTGCACAGGATTTTGCTACAGTATATTGTGATAGTCTAAGTGCGATTTGCTTAGCTAAAGATCAAGTACACCATGATCGGACGAAGCACATTGATGTCAGGTATCATTTCTTGCGTACTGACAAGAGGATTAAGGTGAAGAAGATTGGGACTGCTGACAACCCGGCTGATTTCTTCACTAAGCCTGTTCCGTTTAGCAAGTTTAAACATTGCTTAGACTTGTTAAATATTGATTACTACGTGATGTAGTAGGCCCTGAGGGGCGAAGTTGGGGAGCTCCTGGTGTAGGTGTGTTGGCATTAAGGTGGAGCTTGCCCGGGGCTTGTGATGCAGGTGGAGCATTATGAGTTGTTATACTTGGAGACGAGTATGTGATGGGTCTTGGTTGAAGACTTATCGGGATGTATGGCTTATGCATGAGTCCTGCATCGGGTTTGGCTTGAGATGTTTTTTCACTATGTCTTGATGGGGTCGTTTGCTGACTACGAGTTCTCGTCAAGGTGGAGATTGTTGATAAGTATATTAGGTGACTCGTACTTCGTAGCTTTGTCCGCCCGATCGGGCGGACATTGCCCGGTCTGACCGGGCGGAAGAAGAAGAGGTGCCTGGCAAATTCGTTGAAGAAGCTGCTCTCGCGCCCGACCGGGCGAGCCTTCGCCCGACCGGGCGAGCCTTCGCCCGATCGGGCAGACCTTGCCCGGTCTGACCGGGCGGTGGGGGTTGGATACGTTGAAGCATTCGTATGGAGTTTTCTTCTCGCGCCCGATCGGGCAGACCTTGCCCGGTCTGACCGGGCGGAGAAGGAAAAATACGGAACGCGGATTTTGCGGTTTTAGGTTATCTTATTTTATTATCTTTTTGCCCAAGTATCTTTTAATTAGGGATTAATATAAAACCTCCCTAATATCAGTATTAGGGTTAAGAGAGAGAGAGTGAGAGCCGTTCTTGAGAAATACAAGAATCATCTTTGTAATCTTTGCAGTTTATAGTGAAATCATTCGATCTCGGTGCCCGTGGACGTAGCTATCACATCGATAGTGAACCACGTAAATTCTTGGTGTTGTTCTTATTGTTTGCATTGAATTTCTTTATTGTTTTCTTGTTTGTTTTCGACCTTTGCTTCCGCTGTCGCACAACAGTTACTTAGCGTATGTTGATTATCAAACATTCAGAAAGGGTCCTTACATCAATCTATAGGCTATAGCTACCGCTTACAACTTGTGTCTAACTCAAAAGGTCATACTCCATAATACATATATAGCATCCTTACCTTTCAGCAGGCTGAAGTGCAGAGTTTCCAATTAAAGAACTTAGTAATTATCCACGTAATCGAGGTATAAATAGCATCACGAATCAGGTGTAAGCAAGTACTAGTTTTATTTTCACCCATGTCTTGCACATTACATGTGTTATCAAATTGCGACTGCATTTCAAAATCGTCAGAAGACCTACAGCTGAACAGCATCAGCACTGATTTTTTTGTGCTACTATGAACCTATGAATCAATGAACGATGTGACTGTTCGATGCTTCATATGCAAAAGTACCCATAGATTATGTAAATGAATATCCAGCATTTGGATCTTCTTTATTAAAACTGTTTAGCTCCACTCATGCCAAATATCAATGCAACTATTAGAGTTTGCAAATAACAAAACAACAATAAAGAAGTACAGCAATCCTCCTTGACACAGCAAGTCTCATCACGAATTAATAATCATGTACCAGGAAATCAAGCATAAGCTAGCTAGCCTGAAGCATCGCCTCCATCTGAAAAATATCCTAGTTCTTTGAGATGACTCTGATCATTCCATAATTTGATCGACCACTGGTCTCCTTCAGAAAACTGAAATATACTTATAGATGCATTCCGTATCCCTCTAACAGATTCTCCAGGTTTAGCTAGCTTGTACAAATTTTTTATGACAGTATAATGAGTTACTACAACTACTCGTGCACCTGAAATGTCAACATTCAGCCAGAAGAAAAAGGTTACTTCATTGGTTTTTTTTTTTTTTAAAAAAAAAAAAAAGATACAAAAGAACTGAAAGCTGCTTCCCTAAACATTACCTCTGTGTTTTTCAGCAATTCTTTGCAACGAAGATGTGTATCTGTTATTCAACTGATCTTGACTTTCACCACCACCCTGCAGATGATGATATGCATGTATTTTCAATATTTAGAAAGTCTTCAATGTCAAATGAGCTTTTGACCTGAATGAATACTGTAATTCTATTTCATAGTCGCATAGCAGATGAAAACATCAGGTCAGCAAAGAAAGGGGATCATGCATTCAGACTTTTTTAAAAAAAGAAGACGAGACCATACACACCGAAATTTCTTGATCATTTCCAGGTGACTTCAATGCTTCAAAGGCTATAGGGTTAACCTTGGGTGATTCGCTAAATGTAAGTCCTTGAAGATCCCCTATATGTCTTTCCCGCAGGTCTTTATCTGTAACAACCTGATTTTGAGACCCATATAAAACTTATGAGCCGCTAATTACCGTGTAAACAAACATATCAAAGCAGTACACTTCTGGTATAACAAATTAATCTGATACAAGCATTTTTAAACTGTTATCAAAGGTTTACCCTATACCTGCCAGTAAAAAAAGTCACTTATTTTTCTTTTTTTTATGTAACTATTGGTTTTTGAATCCAAGATTTTTACCACATGCTCTACTGAAATTCTAGTTCATCTCATCAAATTCAAGCCCCACTATTAGCTCCCTTGTTATACCCAAAGAGGGATATGAAGTTGTATTATTTTGATTGACGAGTAACAAACCTCAAGCCCACATCTAGATGCTATTGCTTCTGCTGTCTTGAGAGCCCTCTTCAAATCAGATGAATATATAGCGGATATATTAGGCTCCCTTGATAGTCTCTCAGCAACCTACAAAAAAAAAAGAGAGAGAGAGAGAGAAGGGAGGATTATATTCAAGGACTGAGCAAGAGAACCTAGATCAGTGCATAATATCATAACTAACTTACTATGACGGCTTGTTTTCTCCCAACCTCATTTAGCTCAGTGTCCGTCTGTCCCTGGATCATTAACAAAGAAGTAGAGATTTGAGTTATTAACCTTTATTATTGCATATGGATGAAGCAAGAATTTAGCAGTATAAATGAGAGTGCCATGTAGGCATCTACTGCAGGTTCTTTACAGGAGCAAAGTTTGTGCAATGCTATAGACTCTAGTCAATTTTATCAGACAGGTTCTACTTATATTATCAAAAAGACAAACCGAGCTCGCTAGAAAAGCAATACAGCCCAGAATCACCTTGTGATATAAAGACATATGTGGATACACAGAACAGCCTAAATTTTGAAACAGAGAATACAAATGAAAGCTGGAAAAGGAAATTTTCAAAAAAAAAGTCTAATCAAGTTTTTATATCTAGGAAAATTGATTATAAAATAACTATACCATGTATTGCATGTAAGTTGTTTTCCCCCTTCTTAGGCTAATTTTCACCTGAATAACTCTTGAACTCATCTGATAATTAAGCTTATCAGTCCTCTATATCAAAACCTTTCTATTTTGTTGTGAAAGAAACTTATTTGCTCGATCTAGACTTATTAGATCCGATACTTGTTAAAAAGGTAAAAAATGAACATTATCTTCATCTAGTTAAACCATGATTAAAATCTTAAATTCGGGGTATGGTGTGTTTGAGTGGTTCAATTCATCTCACTTGTTGTCAGTCATCAAAAAGTCAAGGGATGTAACACAAAACATGAATGAAAAATAGTATATATGTTTATTTTGTCAACTTTGAAGATGAATAGAGCTAACAGCCTAACCTGCCCTTTGCCAAGAACATTCCAATCTGTTACACCATGGCGAACAACAATAATCTCTGTACAAGATCCATTAACCGGCCCTGCTTCTCCAGCTATATTTCCTTTACTAACGCAATCCATCGACACCCTTTACAAACTGTACACCAACTAATTAAAGGTATACAAAAACAACAGATATATATATATATATATAAAAAAAAAAAAATAAGAAAATAAAATAAAAAAAGGACTACTTGTATTAAACTATGAAAGTGGACGAACATTTTTTCTTCTGGTCTGATGTTGATTCCTCTTGTGAATTCCACTTGAATGGTACTTTTTCTTAGGGCTTAAAAGTGCCAAGGATTTTTTGAACAGAGGTTTTTTCAGAAAGAAACTCTAAAAAACAATCATCTATGAGAGGGTTTTTACATCAATATACTGTACAGGGTGTCCAACTCGGAGTATATAGCAGCTTTGCCTGTATAGCAAGCCTAATTGAAATTTTTTGATTAGGATACTTGGTTACACACATGGCCAAGGTAAAAATAATGTTGTGAGCAAGTTATATTAGTACGCATCACTTGCACTATACCATGTCTAAATCAGAACATTATAACAAAGCCTAAACTGCAACTCCCGGCCTCATTCAGATCAATATCTGACTGTCCCTAGATCATTAAATCAAATAGAATTACAAGTTTGAGTAAACACACCAAGTTTTATTCGGTTATTCCCATTGTTTGTATTGAATTTACAAAATTATAATTCTATTTTTCTTCGATTGTTAAATAGTTTTGAGTAATACTCCGTTATTTGCTAATATACAGTACTTCACAAAAAATCATTTTTTTCAAGAGCTCACTTGCATTTTTCCTAGAACGTTCCATAGAGTTTCACCACGAATATTATAATCAAATTGCGGTCACATTTCACAATGGTCAGAAGAAATACAAATGAGCAGATGCAGCATCAACACTGTTTCCTGTGCTACTATGAACCTATGAATCAATGAACGTCAGGACTGTTCAATAATGACATGCAAGGGTACCCTTATATTATGAAAATAAATTTCCAGCATTTGGATATCTTTATTAATATTTCATTCGAGTCATTAACTCCACTCATGTCAAATAAAATTGCAACTAATACAGTTTACAAGTAACAAAACAACAGTAAAATACTGCAATCCTCCTTGATACAGCAAGTCTCTTCATGAGTTAATAATTAAGTACCAGAAGTTCAAGCATAAGCTAGCTAGCCTGAAGCATCGCCTCCACCTGAAGCCGATTCCAGATATTCAGTTTCTCTCAGATGACTCTTATCATTCCATAATTTGATTGACCATTTGTCTCCTTCAGACAACTGAAATATACAAATAGATGTATTCCATATCCTTCCAGGAGTTCCTCCAGGTATAGCTCGTTTTTACAGCTTTTCTATGACAGCCCCATGAGTTACAACAACTACTCGCGCTCCTGAAATGTCAAAAATCAGCCAGAAAAAAAGGGTTACTTCATTGGTTGATTTTTTTATCTCCCCTGGTGGTCCTAAATACAAAATTAGTAACTAATTGCTGCTTCCCTAAACATTACCTCTGTGTTTTTCAGCAATTCTTTGCATTGAAGATGTGCATCTTCTTATCAACTGATCACGGCTTTCACCACCACCCTGCAGATAATGATGTATGAGGAAATCTTTGATTTCAAATGAGCTTTTGACCCAAATGAATACTGTAATTCGATTCCATAATCACATAGAAGATTAACATATCAAGTCAGCAAAGAGGGGAGAAGGGGACCATTTAGACTTGTTTAAAGGAGACCATACACACCGGAATTTCTTGATCGTTTCTAGGAGACCTCAATGCTTCAAAGGCTATAGGGTTAATCTTGGGTGATTCTTTAGCTGTAAGTCCTTGAAGATCCCCTAAATGTCTTTCCCGCAGGCCTTTATCTGTAACAACCTGAATTTGAGACCCACATAAAACTTATGAGCAGCTAATTATCATGTATCAGATCAGTACACTTCTGATCTAACAAATTAATCTAATTCATGCATATTTAAACTGTTAGAAAAGGTTTGCACTATACCTGCCACTAGGAAAGTAACTTTAATTTTCGTTTTTTACTCTTGGTTTATATTTCATCATTCTCACCAAAGTTGTCAATTTTTTTAATTTGATAATCACAAAATCTTATTGTACTAGCTAAGTTTTGCTGAAACACTCTTAATTTTATAAACTGAATAGGACAAAAAAAACATTTAGTAAATCGGTCATTTGTCTCTACATAAGTGTTACCGGTCAAATCCAAGATTTTTACCACATACTATACTGAAATTCTAGTTCATCTCATCAAATTCAAGCTCCATTATTAGCTACCCTTGTTATCCCCAAAGAGGGATAAAGTTGTATTGTTTTAGTTACAAACCTCAAGCCCACATCTAGATGCTATTGTTTCTGCTGTCTCGAGAGCCCTCTTCAAATCAGATGAATATATAGCGGATATATTAGGATCCCTTGATAGTCTCTCAGCAACCTACAACAAAAAAAAAAAGGATTATATTCAAGGACTCAACGAAATAACCTAGACCAGTGCAGAATATCATAGCTAACTTACCATGACAGCTTGTTGTCTCCCAACCTCATTTAGATCAGTATCTGTCTGTCCTTGGAGCATTAACAAAGATGTAGAGATTCGATTCATAAACAGACACCAAAAGAAACAACCTTATAATTGCTTATAAATGAAGCAAGAATTCAGCAGTGTAATGAGAGTACCATCTAGGCATCTACTGCAGGTTCTTACAGGAGCAAAGTTTGTGCAATGCTATAATTTTCTAGCGAATATTTATCAGACAGGCTCTACTTATATTATTGAAAAGAACAGAAATTGAGCTCGCTAGATAAACAATATAGCCCAGAATCACCTTGTGATATAAAGACATTGTGGATATGAGCTTATTAGTCTGTATCATTTCATTTTATTTTGTTGTGAAAGGAATGTAACACAAAACAGTGACAAGAAGTTGAAACATCCACAGATTGAACAATAATAATAAGAAGTTAGCAGCTCTAGTCCTTGAACAAATAGTATGTGTATTTTGTCAATTCTCAGGATGAATAGCCTAACCTGCATTTTCCCAAGAACATTCCATTCTGTTTCACCATGACGAACGACTATAATCTCTGTACAAGATCCATTAACCGGCCCTGCTTCTCCAGCTATAATTCCTTTATTAAAGCAATCCATTGACACCTTTTACAAACTGTAAACCAACTAATTAAAGGAAAACATGAACAACAGATTTAAAAAAAAAAAACAAGAGGAAAGCCGACAAGAGTTTTTTCAGAGAAAAAATGAGGAGGATTTGTTTAACAGCTGAAGCTTCCTGCAATCCTGCTGTATGTATTATTGGTGCATATGTGCTGTCTTCTCGTTGACTCAGGGATATATCATATATTCATATACGTAGTCTTCTTTAGCACTCAGCTTAAAATATTTATTATATTACTAGTATAAAACTATTCTGGTTTTCTTTGTCCTTTTTCTCTGATGTTGATTACCCTAGCGAATTCCACTAAAAATGGACCTTCTTCGAAAATTCAAAATTCTATAAAATTTCCCATATCATAAAAACATTTAACTTTTATTATGTGAAAAAGTATTTTTATCAGATGTTGAAAAACAATCATCTACGAGAGGATTTTTACATTAATATACTGTACAGGGTCTCCAACTCGGAGCACATACTAAATAGCAGGTGTAATTGAAAATTTTCAATTAGAATACCTGGTGTTTGGGTCCAACTCAGTCACCCCTAATTGGGCCGGTCCAAATGATTCAATTAATTACAAAAGCCCAATGCAAGATTCAACTATCCACAAGCATGCTAAAGTCAATTTAGCCTAGTCAGCATGGCAAGCCCATCTGACTTCAAGGGCCCAATTCTCCTCTATTGAGCAAAGGTATAAAAGCCATCAATTATCTCATTTATCATTCATTCACAATCAGCCTCACGCAATTAATTCTCTCGCATAGCATTTATTCTAGATACACTGAACTGACTTTAGCATCGGAGGTGCCTTCCTCGGCAACCACCCCCGAGGTTAGTTTACATGCGTTCGCTGTGCAGGAAATCCTTGGCCTAGTTATCGCTTGGACCAAGATTAGTCTTCTCCTCCGAAAAGGGCCTACTAAAGGCTCCATTGTTTTCATACCGAAACAATTTGGCGCCGTCCGTGGGGAGGATACAAAAAGTTAAGCCAAAAAATCTAACCAGTCTTATTAGAAACATGACTAAGAGTGGCAAGAGCACCAAGAGTGCTAAGAAGAATGGTCACACCTCTTCAAAGAGGAACAGAGACCTGATCACGGTGAGGGAAAATCGACCGATTTCGCCATCACCGGAACCAACTTCATCTTCTTCAAAAGCTCCCCATTCTCCGGAAGGGGACGCTTGGGAGGGTTCTCCATCCCACCATACTCGCCAGCCGACAAGTTCGCTTAGGCCGAGTGGGTCTAACGCGAGAAGTCCTCCACCGCAAAGTCTACACTCTCGGTCCCAGCCAAAAGAAACCCCTCCGTAGGAATCCTCTACGGAGGAAGTGGCAAGGGCCGCAGCGGTCTGTATGGAGTTCCTTAAGGCCCAAGGAGGTCAACTCCCACTAACGCCCCACGAGTCTTCACCTCTTCAGTCGAGACACCTGAGAAGGAGAATCGGTCAAGAGGAGGATGGACAAGTTCCATCCTACAAGGAGCTCGGGGACAAGTGGCAATAGGACACTTGGAGGACCGAAAGGGAAAGGAAAGAACCCTCAATTCTTTCACCGTGCCGAAACTCGGGACTCCATGAGTTTCCGGAGCAACAATACCACCTTTGCGTGTAAAGAGTCTGCCCGCCGAAGCGACCATGAACGCTTAGGCTCAAGAGAGGTAGACGTGCGTAGCCGTCTCACATTCCCAGAAGGAACCGGGTCGTACCCCGAATTGTCTCGGCCAGGGGCGAAAACCACTTCCTGAAAGGAATGATGTCCTTCCAACAAGTGTATTATTCCGATAGAGGGTTCAGAATAATTACAGAGCTAATTCTTCAGTAAGGGCAAGTGATCGGAATACCTAGGTGGAGGCCGCTTCCGATCAGTAATATCAGGGTACAATTGATATTACAGCTTAATCTTAACTGAACCCTTCGGGTCGAACCCAATCAAATCTCCGATCCGAGACGTCGAATTAATCCGAAAGGATTTAATGAGTCGACAGAGTTATACGAATACAGACGTCGGAAATCGAGCCTAGGGCGTCGATATCGAGCGTCGCAAAATCACAAGCAACAAGTATGAGCATAGCCGTAGCTAGGCTAGGCTAGCTCATAGCATGCCTAGGTGCACCATGTGTGTGCTAGGCGCACCATGGTGTGCTAGGCACCATCGCAGCCTAGGCGCACCCTGGCTGACCATCGCATGCTAGCGTGGGTGCCTAGGTGCGCATGGCAGCCATCGCAGGCCACACGACCACCAGGCAGGCCATAGCAGCTAGCAAGCATGCTAGCGTGGTGCCTGGGTGCATGTGACTCCTATCGCTGGCAATGGAGCGCCATGTGCGTGTGCTTGAGTGCTAGCTTTCGCATGGCAGCACCAAGCATCGCAGCACATGCGAGAGGCTGCGCGCCAGCTCGATGCTAGGCCTCGCACTCGCATCCTCGCACACTAGCCTCGCACAGCAGCCGCACTGATGCGTGTGGGCTGGTGCGTGTGCGTGCAATGCCTGGCTGGGTGCTAGGCAGCAGCACCACGCATGCATGTGCGTGTGCGCATGCCTCGGACCAAGCACAAGCAGTGCTAGGCACTGGCTAGTGCTAGCGTGGCATGGTGCCAGTGCGTGTGGGCATGGGGCAAATGCGCATGATGCGAGGGTCAGTGCGGCCAGCATGCGTGGCTCGCTAGCAGCACGCATGCTGGCTGTGCTAGCGATGCGATGCGAGAGGGAGATGCGTGGTGCGAGAGGGAGATGCGTGGTGCGATAGGCAGTGCTAGGCTACCAGCAGCAGCATCGCCTAGCACTGGCCAGCACCAGCGCCTAGCATGGCCTAGCACCAGACATGCGAGGGAGCTGGCCAGCGCCATGCTAGCTGGCAGCAGCCCAGCATGCTCATTGTATGTGGCGGCTTGAGGGAGTGGGGACCAATTAGCTTAGAGCATGCCTTGGGGATCAAGGCAATGGTCCCCCCCAAGGTTCATGGTCCTCACCTAACCTTCTCTCTCCATTTGACACTTGTTGCATTGTGATTAGTTTTGTTTAATAATTTATTTTAGAAATAAATTAATTAGCAAAAATGCATTCTCCCACATTGGTGGAGGATGA